CCCAGAATCTATGATTTAGGGTTCAGAATTCGAGCTTGTTAATATGATCCATGCTTGGCTTTATTGTTTGTTGATATTCTTATGTTCCCTTCTGAGTCTTCTAAAAATATGGTGCACACATACACGTGGCCCACTTTTTTGTTAGGAGTCATACTAAATAGAACGAGGTTGGGTCAGTAACTAGACCGGGTAGACTTTCGTGCTTTCGATACATTGCCCCCACCTCGGCTCGAGTTGTCCGCTCGGGTAAGCCATGTCTAGAACATACCCCTAGGTTTCAACATAGAATGACATAACCTCAAGTCGAATCCCTAGTAGGAACGTTGTTTGCATCATGTGCATTTGACTTTGGGGACTCAACACAGGGGTTGAGTCCGTCTAGGACAGGTGTACCCAAAAAATAAAAAATCATCCTGATCCATCTTATGTGCTACATGTTCCATTCTTCAAAGGTAAAAAGGGTCATTTGGCGGACAAATGATTGTTGAGGGTAAATGAGAGAGAAAAGAGGGTGAAGTGTGAAAATAAAGCAAGTAGAGCCCATTTGTGTTTTTTTCACATTTTTTTAAGAAAAAGACAAAAAAATGAAAAATCCAAAAATATTTTTTGCACTTTCCCATCATTTTTTGAAAAAAAATAAAAAAGGGAAAAAAAATCCAAAAAGAGTTTACATGTTTCATCATTTTTCAAAAAAAGACAAAAATATGTTTTTTCCAAATCAGTTGTTTTTTTATTCTTGCCCGTATCCAAACTTCCCGAACTACGTATACCTGATTCTCGTCTTTCGGAGCATGATACGTAGGAAGCCCACATAGGTCCAGTCTTCTTAGTGAGTCTGAGGTTCTTGACTTCGAGGATCGTAGCCAAATCTTGCATCTTTAGCCACTTTAAGCCACATTTGCCGTTTTGCAAAATAAAAGTGGCTTGTTTAATGGTTTTTGGAGAGTTTTTGATCCACAATTAGTTGTCTTCTTATTTTAAGGTTCGTCCTTCTTGAATTTATATATCTAGCCACTTTTAGGACGCGTCGTCCATTCTTGCAAAATGGGGTCATTTTCGCAAAAGCGGTTGTTAACCCATATCTTAGAGTCCTATGTCCACAACAAAGTTTCCTCTCTGTTTTAAGGTCCATTCTATTGAACTTGTATGCTTAGCCATTTTTTTAGGCCACATAGGCCATTTCTACAAAATGGATCATTTCTGCAAAGTAATTTTTCCATGCCTTAGAGGTCATTTTTTTTTGAGTTTGCACTTCTAGCCACCTTTTGGCCGCATAAGCCATTTTGCAAAATAGCCTCAATCATATTTTGCATGTGTCCAATATGAATTCTTATTGTCTCACATAGTGTTATAAATCTTTAACTCTATTTGGTCTTATTTTTTTCATACAGGTGTGGATCTACTTACCATAGCTTAAGCATGACAGGCGCCCAAGGACCATCTTTGTCAGGACCGTTGCATCCAGGAGTTGCTTAAATAGATTTTTTATTTTTATTTTTTGAGTCTTTTTTTTGTAGTCTTGTACTTATAATCATGTTCAAGAGCACTGATTCTTTTAGTTGGTGTCAGAGTTTGTCGTAGTATAGTTGAGTTTGTCAAGTCTCTCGTTATCGTATTTCCTGTTTTATATTTGAAAATCGAAAAAAGTTATAAATGAAAACTCAAAAAGATTTTTGTTTTTAGTTGATTACATATAAAGAGGAGATGCACAGATGCCCTAGTAAGCAGGTGTGAGAGGTTGGCAATAGGGGAGGGTCTAAGGAGAGGTAGAGGCAAGATGAAGAAGTATTGGGGGAGGTGATTAGGTAGTACCTGGCTCACCTTCAACTTACCAAGGACATGACCCTGGATAGGAGACCATGGAGGTCAAGAATTAGAATTGTAGGTTAGGAAATAGTCGAGTGTTCTTCTTTTCAGTCCTGTAGTAGAATGAAGTAGTAGTCTCATATTTCTTTGTCTTAGATTTCTATTACTACCTTTTAACTTCGCTTTTCCTATTATCTTGTTGTTGCTATTGCTTCTTTATTTATGATTTCTTCACTACTGTAATTCCTTTTCACTACTGCCAGAATTTTGTTTTTCTTGAGCCGAGTGTCTCCAGAAATAACCTCCCTAAGGTTATATATTGTAGGTGTTAGTGCATTTTAATATTATAATTATTTCTTGTGAGATAGTGATTATAAATTGGCAAGAAAGTGGTCACTATTTTGATGTAACTCTTGAAACTACCAATGCCATGATCTACCACTAATTACCTACTAAAAATTAAATTTTGTAATCACCAATCATATTCTACAATTTTATTATCCCACTACCTTATTATTATTTCATTGAAGAGATTCTACACCTATAAATAGTGGTGTTTCTTTCTTGTGTTTGAGATGGGAAAATTTGGTAGTGTGTATGAAAAAAGTGAACTTGGTGGAGTGAAAAAGAGAGTTAATAGAAGGAGAAAATGTAAGTCTCCAACTTATTCTCGACAAAAGATAATACTTATTTTTGTTGCAGGAATGTGTTCATTTTGGTGGAGCTTTGGTCTCAACAACTTGTCCAGAGTTTGTTCGAGTCATACGACGTTATCAGGATGTTATATCCTGGAGGGGACATGTCAAGAGTATTACTGTTGGACCGTTGAAGATACTACCGCAGTGAGCTTGAATCTCCTTAAAGAAAGCGAGATATCTGCAGTTCAGCCTGAAGAATATTTATTCATTTTTCTTCATCTTATTTTTCAACTGTAATTAATTTTAATTTCACCAACACATACTACCCTCATCAACCTTACTTATGGGATTATATTGGATTGTTGTTGTGCAAATTTAGGTTAGAATAACATTAATTTTTAAGACTTTTTACTTTTTTAATTTAAAACAAACAGTATTGGTTTCAATTTTTGGAATACCTTTTTCAAACTAAGCTAAACAGGTAAAGAAGTGATTGAAAGACGCGCTAAGCTTAGTACCCAAACTCCTGTCTTTCCATTTTCTGTTACTCCACTGTAACTATCAGACTTTTGGGGACGCTCCTCTTACTAATATCTTTTGCTGCTTCCTTAAGTACATTGTCCATTATTTCTTCGATCCTACTTTCAATTGCATTTATCTCGCGTTAAGCGTTGTCTTTTTAATCAAATGGTGAATTTTTAACATTCACATGAAGAATAGATATTTTTCCAATGGAAAAAGAATTGACAAAGATTTCTATTTTATTTTAGATATAAGGATTGATGAAATGGGACAACAATACCCATATCTAGAATCCCTTGCGTGCTTAGTAGTAGGTTTGACGTTAAGCAGAGAAAAAAGTGGTTGCAGACAAACAAAGGTTGGTCCCCATACTTTGAAAATTGACCCTTTAGTATTTCCATTTAATAGCCCCCATCTGCTATTTTTGACCTATGAATGTGCACCAACAATTTCCATATTTCAGTCTTCCTCTCTTCTCAACTACTAGTCTTAACACACAACCAACTGTTTTGCTATAAATTCCATGCCAAAATACAAACACACTCACAGGGGCGGCTTTATAGGTGTATTTACGGGGCACGTTACCTTGTGGTCTCTTCGTAAAATTGGCAAAATGGCTTCCTGACCACTTAAATTTGTAGGGCTTTTAAAAGTCGATACATAAACTTTTGTCTTTCTCATTCAAACACTCAAACTCCTGAAACCTATAACTAATAAACACAATTTGTCCTTGACCCTAGGCGCGTGTATTACACATTCGCTAGCGTGTCCATCCAGTCAGCAAATGACCAATGAGACTGGTACACGTCAATGGCGCGAAATTAAACCAAACCGATTGGGGTCCCCCTCTTTTAATCAGCACACCGACAAACCCTCCCCCACTTTTCGTCTCTTTTCCTCTCTCTAACCATCCTTCCCCTCTTAAACCTAGGTTAAGCAGTGACTGATTAACCTGGTCATCTCCTTCCAAAATAATCTTAATCACTCCAAAACCAACGATTGGGGTCCCCCCTTTTTTAATGAAAAGCTGATCGAGATTTGTCTGAGCTTTCGATTTCAGTCACGTTAGTCTCTGAAGGTTAGTATGTTTCTTTAGATGTCGTTTTCATCTTTGTCTTCTAATTTCTTGTGAAATAATGTCTGTAATGTTTGATGATTCAAATAATGTGAAAGTTATGTATGTCTGCATGCATAATTTTTCATCTGATATAGTGGAAGCCATTTCGCCTTTTGAGATTTTATATTAGGGATTTTATATTTGGGGAAACACTCGAATATTCACTCTTTTAGGTTTTTTTTTATTTTTTTCATGACTGATCTGGCATTTGGGGTTAAAAAATTAGGGCTTTTGTCTGCATGCACAAATTATGGGATTTTATATTAGGGTTTTGGGGAAAACAGTCGTACGTTCACTTTATTTTAGGGGTTTGTCTTTTTCATGAGTGATATGGCATTTAGGGTTAAAAAATTAGGTCTTTTTTGAATATCAAAATATTCTTGTCTCCCATTTTGTTAAAGTTTATGGCTTTTTAGGGTTAAAGTGTATCTGACTTGCCCCCCCCCCCCCTTTTTTATAGGTTTCAATGAATGTCTATGTGAAATTACAGTTTCATCATCTAGGGTGGTTAGTGGCTGACCCAATTATGAGGTATGTAAATGGTCAAACTTGGCCAGTTGTTCTTCAAGCTTACATTGATGAATTACATATAATTCAATTTCATGATTGGCTAAGGATATGGGATACTTAACAGTAGATAAATATTATCTAATGCATATAAAATTAACCAAAAAGGAGAATTTAGATTTTTGAAATATGATGCTGATATGTTAGCTTTCTGTCAAGACCTTAAAGATGGGGATTTTATTGATGTGTATATATGTCACACAATTAATACACCATGTATTAATTTGGACCTAGATGAAATGTAAAGTAGAGGTGGTTTAAATGTGGACCCCACTAACGTTCAGCCATTTGGCTTTAATGAAATGCTACATGGGCAAACAAGTAATGTTAATGCTAGGGCAACACACTCACCTAACAATGATATAAATAGGGTTGATAACACTCATGGGAACGGTAAAAAGAGGGCTGATGAAAGTTCTTCTGAAACAGAAGAGTCTAGTGAAGATGAAAGTGACTTCTATACCTTTCATTTAGCAACTGATTCTTAGGGTGATGTTGAGGGTGATGCTGAGGGTGATGAGATAAATACTGAGAGTGATAAAGATTATGAGGCTATTTCTAAATATGATGATAATGATGATACAGATGAGTCATTATATGGTTCTGATGAGGATACTGTTGGAGAGACAAGTGACCTAGAACCTGAAGTTGTTGTTGTTAGACAGGCTAAAGTGAATGCAAAAAGTAGTAAATTAAGATCTTCTGAAGTTAATACTGATGAGATACCTAGTGGACCTGTAGGTATAGACCCTGGTTTTGAAGACATGTATAAAGATAGGGGATCCAAATATGCTGGAAAGTTGGGAGGGGATGAGCAATATCTGGACAGTTCAGATCCAGGTAGTGAGGATACAGATGATGAAGTAGATGAAGAAGATGTGGTGCATAACCCTCAACCAAGAAGATACAGCAGTAGGTTATACTTTGATCCTGCTTGTAAGAAAATTTGTTTGTAGTTGGAAATGGTGTTTGAAAATGTGAAACAACTCGGATCTGCTTTGCAAGATTATGTTGTACAAAGAAGAGTTCAAATTAAGTTGAGGCCTAATGAACAACATAGGGTTGGGGAAAAATCTGTGAACTCAACAAGATGTAGATGGCATATTTTGGAAAGTTTGGAGGGACACACAGGAAATTTCATTGTCAAGAGCTACTATCCTGTTCATAAGTGTTTTAGAGCAACCAGAAACAAGATGGCTAATACAACATGGGTAGCTAAACATTTCAAGGACAAGATTATCAACCAACCTGACATTAAACTTAGGAAGTTGCAGGTTTGATTAGGATAAAGTATGGTGTGTATGTGGGAAAATCCATATGTGCTAGGGCTAAACATCAGGTCATGGGTCAGTATCTTGGTGATTACTAAAAAGGAGTTTGCTAGAATATAAGATTATGCTGACATGTTGAGGTCTACAAATCATGGCAGCACTATTGTTGTGAAGACCTCCAATGAGACAATACCTGGTACGGAGGTGTTTGTGGGTATCTATATTTGTCTACATGCTTGCAAAGTTGGTTGGTTGGAAGGGTGTAGAAATGTTATTGGCTTTGATGGAGCATTTCTGAAGGGTGTGTGTAAGGGTGAGCTACTATCATACATTGGTAAAGATGGTAACAACCAAATGTACCCTGTTGCTTAGGTAGTGGTGGAAAAGGAGACAAAGCACACATAGTTATGGTTTTTTAGGTGCCTGATGCATGATCTGCGGCTCACTGAATCCCAAGGTGAGGGGCTGACCATCATTTTTGATACGCAGAAGGTATATACTACACCCCTATTCTTCCTTTAATTACTTGGATACTTTATATATGTTTCTGATATTCTAATTATTTTTTTGTTGCTTAAGGGACTTGTTGCATCTGTTTCTGAGTTGTTACCAAATGCTAAGCACAGAATGTGTGCAAGATACATATGGAGCAACTGGAAACAAAAGTGGAAAGGAGAGGAAAAAAGGAAGAAGTTTTGGTCTTGTGCAAGGGCTTCATTTGAAACATATTTGAAGGCTAAGATAGATGAGCTGGCAGAATTAGGTGATAGTAAGATCATTAAGGACTTGCTAAGATACCCAAAACATGTTGGTGTAGAGCATTCTTCAAAGATTAGAGTAAATGTGATTCTGTGGAGAACAACATGTGTGAGACCTTTAACAGTTGGATCTTGTCTGCTAGGCACAAGTCTATCATAACCATGTTAGAAGAGATTAGAGTGAAGGTGATGGAGCGGATGACTACCATGAGAGAATTTGCAACAAGGTGGATTTCTGATGTATCTCCTATAGCAATGGGGTACATAGAGGAACAATCTCAATATTTTGTTAAGCATGAATTTAAATGGAATGGGGATACTGGGTATGAGATACAACATGGGGTTTACAAACATATTTTTGACTTCTCCAACAATACATGTACATGTAGATCATGGCAGCTCAAAGGAATACCATGCTCCCATGTAATATGTGCAATATTTTTTAAGAGATTTGAGCCTGCTGACTATGTAACCCACTGGTACAAGAAAGAAACATACCTGAAGGATTTTAGTTATTACATACAGCCAATAACCAACATGGAGATGTGGCCATCAACACAGAATCCAACTGTTGAGCCTCCTGTGATTACCAAGATATCTGGTAGACCTAAGAAAAATAGAAAAAGAGCTCAAGATGAACCTAAGAAGAAGTTTGGTAAGATATCAAGGAAAGGGACACCAATGACATGCTCTAATTGTAAGACAGTAGGCCATAACAAGAAGGGGTGTCCTATCCTGGTAATGTATTTAATTTGTGTCTGATTGTGTCTTGTACTTTGGTTGTTTCTATATTTCATTTTTTATTTTTGAAATTTCAGAAAGGACAAGGATTTGTAACAACAGGAACCAGTAATGCTGGTGCTACTCAACGATCACAGGCTGCTCAAACAACAGCTCAACAATCAGGTCCTACAAGTGACTCTAGAACTGCCAGGGACAGAAATACTCAACCATCAGCTGTTGCAAGTGCATTTGTAAGTATTTATTTTAGTTAATTTAGTTAATCTGTATTAGGACCAAAATTTTTAAATTACAAGAAAGTACTTTATCTTACATCAGGATACTGGAAGTATGAGATCAAGAACTTTTGAGGATATTATAGCTAGTATTAGAGGAAGGCCAACAGGTAGTGGACTACGAGGAAGACCAAGAACTACTGGATTTGGTATATTGTTTAGTGATATAGGAATAATGATAGAAAGGGTAAGATCATTAAGGATTTGAATTTTTATTTATATATTAGTAGTTTGAGTACTAATTTGGCTTCCTATACAGTGTGGAGCAAGAGATAGGGTACATTCTTCTCCTACAAAAGTAGTGGATGCTGGGCAGACCAATATCGATCTTGGATACAGTGCACCTAGACAAAGGTGGCAAGGAAGAAATGCTATATCACAAAGGCAACTTCAACAACTGTTGAAGAGAAGACAAATTCAAGCAAGCCTTAACCAACCTCAAGTCCATTCTTCATCTCAGCCAAGCCAGTCTCCATGTCCAAACTTGAGCCAATCTCAGCAAAACATCAACCAATCTCAACCTTGAAGCTGACTAAATGTTTGTTTTTGTGGTAACTTAAGTCTGTTAGTTGCAGAACTTAATTTGTAGGTTAACTTAAGTCGGTTTAACTATGACTTTTCTTTTGGTACAATGTTTAAACTATTTCTGCTACTAGCCAGCAGTTCAGTGCTAATTTTGTCAACCAAGAAGGCTGATTGAACTTGGTTGTTTATATATGTGTGCTTGTTTATGTTAAAATTGCTTTTCATTCCACAAAAAATACATCATTCATTCTGTCATTATCATTGTACATAGGGTTATGAAGTTAGTGCTAACTACACTAAGAAGAAAATTACAATTATTAGTGCTACTACAACAACTAAAGTTACAGTGATCTTCACCCTCTTCCTACGCTGTAGTCGATCTCTCTCTTTAATTCTTGATAATAGCCCTGAAATCACCTGTTTATAGTGATCTGGAAGAGGTGAGTCAAACCACCTAAAACAATTACAAGAATTAGCTCGACCATAGTTTGAGCACCTATAAAACCTCTTTCCTGGATTTGTTGGCTTCCAAGTGTCGCAAATATGAGCTTCAACTCCACAATGACAAAATACATGACTTTGATTCATTATCACAATCTGGAAGAAGAAAAAAAAAATTAAAGAAAGCTTCAAATTTTAAGAAATAGGCGAAATGAAGCTTCAAATACATATAATAGAGGGATAATGTGTATCCAATTGAAAGAATAAGACCCCACTTAAATAGGCCCTATTTTTGACCGTTGGGCGTTGGGAAGGGGTCTCTCACGCTCCTAAAAGTCATGACATTCACGCAGGGGGCTGACTATGACCAACTGACGCCACATGGGATGGGTCAACGGTCAATTGTATTTATTAGTTATAGATTTCAGGAGTTTGAGTGTTTAAATGGGAAAGACAAAAGTTTATGTATCGGCTTTCAAAAGCCCTATAAGTTTAAGTGGTCAGGAAATCATTTTGCTTCGTAAAATTTGATATTTTATGTATATATTTTCTAAAATTGGTATAATATTACATGTTGACACTCATATTTCATTGTACTTGATTGAAATTTGAGTTACTAATGAGAGATATAGGGATCAATTTCCACTATGTATATTTTTTCCTTTTTTTAGATGCAATTAGTAAAGTAGAAAACTAAATTAGCCTTCCCATTTGCCAACTGCCAACTGCCAACTTTTACTCTATCTCTTGCCTCATAGTCTTTGTATTTCCTTTCTCTTGGTCAACCGTCCCAAACACGAGTCCCATTTTTTGTCTAATACTTTTCATCAACCATTTGGACTATCCAAAGAAAAAAAAAGCGAAAAAGCTAGACTATTCCATGAAATAATGTTCCACCATTCTATAATAAGAAATTAAAGAAGTTAGGCATCCGACGTTGACAAAGCTAACCAGGAAACCAGACAAACATTTAATGAAACTGATTGCATGTAACCAACCCCTTTTTCCTTTTTTATCTCTTTTCATTTGATTATTTCCAATCACAAACCCTCCGGTATCAGTAATTCTTTCTTTAAAGACAATGTAATGACATTTTGACACTACCAAAATAATTTAATGTGTTATAGAAGATTATAGCCTTATATGTCAAGTTACTATTTATGACATGATAGCATGAAAAATGTTATATTGTCTATGTATAGAAGTTATTTTTTCCTGTACTTGTGAATTGGTTTAGTCCACTATATAACTGATAAAGAGACATAAAGCTATTAATCTATTTCTGCATATGTTTCATTTTACATAATAACTTTTTTATTTAGTTTGTTTAAAACAAAATGATACTTTTTTATATTTAGAAACTATTTTTATCTTAAATTTATATTTTATCCTGGCCTAAACAAGATACTCACATAACCAACCACATAAATATCGATCATGAAAATATTTAAGACAATAAGTTCTAACCGCACTTTTGCTATAAAGTTTTAGTTTCTTTCTTAACTAGTCTTACATAGTACTAGTTTACATTTGTCACCCTTTTTTCTTTTGCAGGGCAAATAAAGCTAGCTATGCCTTTTTAACTAATCATAATTGATTGCCACAATTTGATCTAATTAGGAAGACTCTAAAATGAGACTACTTGTTTCTGCAACAGAGAGGGAATGGTTATGCTCGCCTTCGTACGTAACAATCAGCATGGTTGGTTCATCCAGAGCTCTCTCTACATGTTTACGTGCTGGACAACCTCTCACACTGCTACATTTATAGTATGCCCTGCCATTATTTAGCAACACAAAAAAAAAAAAAAAAAAAACAGTTTAGTCTCAAATACATTAATAATGAATGGTAAGAATTTTTATACAACTAAGTCACTTTAATTGTAGTTCCAGGTAATTATCTATCATAGGTGAAATTTGTAACTTGAAAACGAGACAAGTAACTATTATAATGGGCAAAATTATACTGATAGTATAAGCCAATTATTGTATAAGTTAAATATTTAAAAGGATTCATGGATTAGCTCAAAACCTTGGATGTGGAGATCCTTTAATTGGCTTTTGTCCATATTTTCTCCATGAATAATCATCAGGTGGGATGTCAGACATTTTCATGCTAATTGCTGGAACTCTTTCCACCCTTTTAAGTCTTAATTTCCTGTTTGAACAGATCAAGTAAACTATTAGTAATCCATATACATACATACATACATACATATATATATATATATATATATATATATATAACTATTACCTTCTTTTTGAACAATGGCATCGGCCGGAGGAGCCACTACACTTGCCAGAGAGGTCGTTCTCGGACGAGCAGCACTTTCTTTTAAAGGAAGAAGAAGTAGACAAAGGAGGCTTTCCAGCAGAAGAGAGATTTGAAATCTTGAAAGATGAACTCTCTGTTTCCCCTGTTAACGCTGACATATTAAACGAATTTGAGCGAGAAATATCTTGACCATAGGAAAAGTTAATGCTCTTTTTTGTAACCAATTCTTGGTTCTCAACAACCCCATCTCTTGGATTTTTAAAGAATTGGTGATCGTAAAGCTCATAGGCGACTGGAGGAACTTGTTGAATTGGAGTTGGACAATAAACTTTACTGTCCATAAAATCTTTCTTGACTTTTGGAGGGGAAGTAGTAGGTGCTCTTCTGAATCGAGCGTGGCCAGTTTTGGTTCGACCAAGAAGTGAAATTATGTTCTTGAACTTTGTAACAGCTGCATCAGCTACCATTTCAATCTCCATAGGGGAATTTTCTTGCTTTAGGAAAGAAGATAAATTCCCCTGTTTTTGCTGCTGTTGAGACTGACTCTGAGTTTGAGACAACAATTTGAGGAGTTTTTCGACGCCTTCAAGCCCAGAGGCAGCTTTTTGAACCACTGCCTTTTCTTCCAACTTTGTATTGAAAATAGTAAAACTATTCCTACTTGTGTTTCTGTAATCCATCATGAGCTCTACAGCCATCTCTGTTTACTTGGCCAAAAGGAAGATTAATCAGATGAGGAGGGAGAAATAGATATAGACGGAGGGAATATGAGGAAGAAGAGGGGAGTGTTGATTACGGGTCAAAGAGATGCCATTGGCGAGGTTAAAAAGAAAGAAGTGAAAGAGAGGTGATGATAAAGTAAACAGTAGGTCACTGACTTGTCAGTCTCCTCATATTATTTCTTTGGACTCAAACTATATAAATAGGTGGTAAAAAAAATGATCTTTTTATATATAGCGCCATAATACTTAACGCTATATACTAACAGTAACGGCACCGTTAAAGTATAGCGTCAGGTATTGTGGCGCTATACTGAGGTATAACGCCACAATATCTGGCTCTATATATACATCATTAATATATATCGCCAAGTATAGTGGCGCTATACATATATATTTTATACCCCACGCGATTCATCCTCCATTGTTAAACCCCCTATCTTTCTTTCTTGGTCCCCTACCAAATACCCCGTTTCTGCCATTTTTTTTTAAAATTTTTTTTTTGGGTCTCCCCGACACATAAAACTCGAAGAAAAAGAGTCCCACATTCGAGTAGAGTTTCGTGCTATTGTTGATTCACAATTTTGGAGTCAAAATTTCAATCTTTTTGCTTTGCCAAAATTCTAAATCGAGGTATTTCGATTTATTTTAAGTTGAAACATTTATAATAATGTATATTATTTGATTTGTATGTGTTCTATTTCGGTTTGTGTTTTTTTCCGAAACTAGCATGTTAAATTTATCCGGATTTAATATTACTGTTTTCTAAAAAAATATAAATTAGTAAAAAAATTTGTCTGTTAATATCCTGATTTATATATATGTTTTTTCATGCCGTTTTGTATTTTATTTGCAATTAAATTTATTTGTTGTTTATGGTTAGTTTAGATTATTTTTTAGTGTAGTAAAATCCAGACCTTTTTAGTATAGTAAAACGTAGATCCTTATAGCGTAGTAAAATTTAGAGTCTTGTAGCGTAGTAATGTGTAGTATTTTAGCTTAGAATTCCTTTTGTTTAAGTATCTTATAACTTTGTACAATTAAGTTAATAACTGTATCAACACACATAATTAGTAATTTGTACAATTAAGTTATTATAAATTATGAATTTAAATTATAATAAAAACACATAATTATATATAT